GATTTTGCTGAGCCACAAAGTGTGCATTTATATTACTTGAGCTTGTTGCGCAGAACCGGTAATGTTAAAGAGGACAGACCTTTATGTGTTTTATTTTCATCTCCCCTTTGGTGTATTTTTACATTCCTCGTGTATGAATTTTCAATTTTTTTTTCCTGTGGCGCTACAGCCCCAATTTGGGCCTAGGCCTACCTCCATGAAACTCTCCGTTTCACTTCGGTTTACTAGATCTTACACATACGGTAGGACTCCTTGGGTGAGTGATCAGCTCGTCGCAAGGCCTCTACCTGTAGACAAACAGAAAAATGCACACAAACATCCATGCCTTGAGTGGGATTTGAACCCACGATCCCGGCTTCCGAGAGAGCGAAGACAGTGCACGCCTTAGACCGCTCGGCTACCGTGACCGGCTTTCAAATATTTAGGCAAGCATATTCGTTCATACAGATGACATTTGTGCCCTTTTTACTGATAATGTGTTTTAACATTGTAAGGTTTCGATAATATATTTCAATTCTATATTTCTTTCGCCGTAGGAATGGACTTAATGGAAGGATATGCATGCTGAGGTTTCTCTGTGAAGCTGCCCGACTGGTGATCCCAACAGACACCCTCTTCCAGAAACTCCTGAAACTCATATTTACGTAAGTTTCGAATAAGACATGTTTACCGATGGACAACAAACAAAATACGATAAAGAAAAGAAATCAGAGATTAAAGTCTAATGAAACTAGAGACACACACACACACACCGCTTTCTTGAACGTGTGAATACGTGCTAGATATTCAAATTTAAATTAACCAAGATGAAATTTGTTACTCACTTGTTACCACAACGCTTTCTTAAGACAGGAAATATAGCGAAGTTTAGTAAGCCACAATATGGACTGCTAACCTTACTACTATCCACAGAATTCCCAGAAATTTATGAATGTCTAGGGTCTAACAATCTCTGCTTTCTCAAGACTTCCAGTGGTATATTATTGAAAAATCAATTGATTTACTTTCCAATAGAAAGACAAATGCTGGTTTCTGTGGCACGAATATTATTCTGAAAGCAAATGGAGAAGAAACCAAGATACATGAACAAGCACTCAAGCAACACAAAGCAGTGCACTGTACTGTAAATTTCGAGGAATTACACTAGCATTTGACTGAAGGCAAAAGCGAAATTTTTGATGAAATCTCATTCAGAATTACCCGTTTCCTCATCGAATTACTAACCTGGAACCTCCTTAATATGAAGCAGATTTATTATACATTTTATCGCAATGTTAGAAGAGATGTCAAAGTATACTTTTTAGAAATATATCTACTCTTTACTGTGTACATAATATTTTAAACAAGTCATCAGTGAATATTGTAAGAGTATTAGAATTATTTGATTTTTATGATTTGAAGTAATGAGAAAGACAAGATATAACTTTGGGGTTCATAGAAAATTCTCTTATTAGATGCAATTAAAGAGTGCTAATGACTTCATATACCATACTGGCTACGGTTCCATGCAATTTTACTTCTAACCGATCTATTCTATAAATGTACACGTGTTCGCAATTTCCAAAAATATTTTGATACTGTAAGTGATACAAATTATGTAGTGATCTATTTGATTTCAGGATTCCAGCAGGGGCGGGGTATACGGTGTCTCCGTATCACGTGGGCGAAGAATGTAACAATATGGCTGACGAATGTCCAATCTCTTTGCTTCACATCATGGCTCTCAAACCGAGCGAACAGCTCTAACTTGCCAACTGTAATTACTCTTCCTGTAAACTTCTGTATCGATACTATAACTGAAATAAAATATTAACACAACTGATAATTATTATAAATTAAATATTATGCATATTGGTCGAATTAGTTTTGACCTACGTGTATGACCTTGACGTATATGCTTTTATTAAGGAAAGTAAATGTTTTTTTTTTTCATATTTATTTGTTTTAAGAGAAAGTGCAATACAATTCATCCATCAGAATAAGGAGAATCATTCATTTGATGACAGTAGTGCAATGTCATGCATATAAAACACATTTCAGATAGAGGACAATGCTTAACAAAATATTTTTATACCATAATAATAATTAGTTTTATAATTTAGTGAATTATTTTGAACTATATATGTGTGGTCATTACTGAACGAGCCAGCTTGCTCCACTCTTTATGCAATACCATCACATGCTCCTTCCTATGAAAAATGTTGATATGCAGAGGGCCAGTAACAATGAAAAGAGTAAGTTATATTACGTGTTGTGTTTCGTTTTACCTCGACCTACATAAGGTCCACACTTCCACAGAAGCATCACAATAAAGGTGGGTTCTGCCTGATTATAAAAGGCGACTTAAGTCGATGTGAGAACTCGTTATGATTCGTGAACAGGACTAAACCTTCTCACGCCTCATACCGCTGTACCGGCCTCGTGTTACACACACCATCGGACACACATGGCTCACGAGAGTAATGTGATAGAAAGCTTTAATATAACATCCCTCCCTGTATCGGGAGATTTTCTAGCCAGATCTTCCAATTTCCGGATCAGAGTTCAAATAAATTATCACTAGAATTTCTGGTACAAAACTTTTTTTATTGCTAGTGGCGTGGGACTAAGTCCCTTGTACTGCGGCCACTTCTGACCTATTGTACCAGCCCCAGATGATAGGTGAGGGTGATTGTGGAGCAATTGGTGGAATGAAGATTGGCAGGGGAAACCGAAGTACTCGGAGAAAACCTGCCCCAGCACCACTTTGTCCACCACAAATTCCACTTGACCAGACCCGGGATAGAACCTGGGCCGCCGCGGTGGGAAGCCATCGACTAACCGCTTGAGCTATGGCACGGCCACACTGACAGCATTTACTACTTCTCATCTTCAACACTGGAGCCTGCCGTTCACGTCACACCCCCTCTCTGCGTATTCAGAATTCACTAGTAGAATATGTTTCTAACTTAATGAATAAAAATGAAAATATAGGCAGGCTATCTGTTCCATAGAAGTGACGTACTGCAAGCTTCCGATGTCCATGCGCGACCGGCACACGCAGATGATATGATATTGTACACTTATCGATAGAGTACATTGGAAGACCGGGGAAACATCCGTTAATGAAAGTGTTACGAGTCTGGGAGGACGGTATGACACGCCTGAGCCACACAGCCATTTGAGTCTCTTTCTGATAACAATGGAGTGCGGAAGATCAGGAAAATTTGCTTTACATTTTTGCTATTTTCTCTTCACTTGCTCTACCGATAAAGAAATATGAGAGACTGAAGTCAAGCATTATAAATCGCCTATAGGCCTATAACCAAACTCTTAGTAACGTGCAGAAGATCTACATGTTGCGCAGAAGGACATGGGTTCGAAGTTACCGCCATGTTGCTCTGACAATAAAAAGAGGACAGTCCAGACTTTTTCCGAATTAAACGACTAATAATGGCTTCGTTTTTGCATCGATCCTCGAAACATTAAACGTAAAGTTCAAATATTTTATAAACTTTGGTAGAAGAATAAGTTGAAAGGTTTTTTGAAAGTTTGCAAGTACACGTGTCAGCTTCCAGACTGTGATCTGACGCAATTTGTTTTTGACCGTCTTTTGTGACTCGCACTCTTATTAACCCGATTAGAGTCTCCTTTGATACTGTCCTGTTTCGAGCGAAACTACTGCCAATATCTTGCTGGCTGAAGATGGGACACCAGATAAAGTTGATATCTATCGTCAAGGCACAGAAATAACCGAATTTAAGAAAATTTGATCCAGTGAAAGAGACAAAGTTTTAACTACAAATTACTGTATAGATAAATATATTGTATATTAATATATCCTTATTATTAGAGTACACGTCAATAATGTAACAATATAAAGGACATCAAGAACACATCACTCACTAAAAATGTATTTTAATATTTTATGATGTTGAACTAATTCAATTGTCAATAGGACACTAAAAGTATATGTTATACATTAAAAGTCATTAATAAAATTTTCTAAAATGTCTCTAGTTTTATATGTATTTTTTTTTATTACGACATGTATAGATATCACATGGGCCATCATCAGGTGTTTTTTTTTTACTTTTGGGGAGACCACTGCATTTGTCTACTCTGCTCCCATGCACGTCAATATTTAGTTCTATCTCATGACTAGAATGCTGCCGTTGCGCTTTTTGTGGCTATCGTAGTTCTTGTGTGTCGTATTTCTCTTGTGTATGTGTCTTACAAAATAACACTACAATCGTAATTGAACAAAGCAGCCTTCTGGGATTTGGCACCGCGTATACCGGTTCTCATGGTCTCTTCGCTTGCGGATTTCTTATATTTTTCCTTCTACCCTGAAGATGGGGCGATACGTTCCTCCGAAACGTCGGTTAACACCACATATACACGGTGCCAAATCCCAGAAGACTGCTTTCTTCATAGTCACCGCCTTGAAAGCCTCAAATCTTACATACAATCGTAATTATTTAAGTAATAACAAGGAGCCGAAAAGATATGTTACAAAAATATAAATTCTTATTATTGACACATCATAAATAATGGCTCCAAGACAGAAATCCAAGAACGTAAATTAAAGCTGGTATTGATGGAAATACTACATCAGCATCTGCTGACCAGATTGATACTCGACAGTAACAATTCCAAAGTAAAAAGAACAACGAATCCAGTAAAGGAAAAGCACCAACTTTTGTGTTTCTTTTGGAGAAACCTGGAGCTGCATTGTAAAGCGATGGCTTAAGGGGAAGATACTTCAAATAAAATAAGGCACAAGCTTACATCCTCACTATTCAGTGGCATAGTATCACAGAATTTGTCTCAGTAGTAGAATAGAAATTCTGCTTCTCAGTCTGGCAGAAGGAGAGCTCGAAGTTATATGCCCTGAGCTGTCCCACACTCTCAAACCTTCCATGGTTATAGCACTTTCCTCCTGTTACAAGCGGAACCTTATCAGCCAAGTCGTGATGTCACCACCTGTTTTTAAGAACCGTTAAAACAGTTGGGCTTTGATGCAATTCGCAACTCCGTAACAAAGGGGAAGCCCCTAATTACTGCACAGAAAACAACAGGTAAGGTCCCAATTAACAGCAGTTTAAACTGTGAATGTGGTATTGTTAATGAGATCCATTTACACATATTTCCTTGTCTGTAGTCCTAGTTCAGTGTGACGAGTCCTTTCTTTGACGCAAGCAGTGTTTACAATGCGGAGCGTGTAGTTGCCAGCATGCAATAACAGGTAAGACACAATGGATAAATTTTGTGTGCGTGCGTGTGTGAGATCACACAGAAAACTGTTTTTGTATGTTCATAACTGAAGTAAATGAAAGTCACTTATATTTAGATGCGTTTTTGTGAAATTCTTTTAGAGAAATTTGAGGGAGGTTTGGTCTACGTACAAACATTAAATCGGTAATAAAATCAATACCGAACTTTAAAGAAATGAACGTGGAAACGCAATTAAATAGAAATTCCGTGTGCTTAAAGTAGAGTGTACTTTTTTTTTATATCAGTCTCAAATATTGGTTTTAGATTTAATAAAAAAATCTTTTCAACCCTAGCAAAATTAATTGCAAATTAAGGGTGAAGGCAAAGCTTTGCCTATGCTTAATTAAACACCGCGCTATTAAAAATCAGGGGACGGTGGAGATACAGTGTTATTCTTAATCATGACACTAGATGGACGTGAGTGGCAAGGTTCACGCCCCGGCCACTTTGCCCACGGGGAATGAATCCACGGTCCCATTAGATAGTGCAATGATATGACCCTAGGGACATTCTGGACGCTGTTTATTATAGAAAGATCTCTTTCCCTGCCGGAAACTGAACCCTCATTACCCCATGACCCAGCCCCTAAAGTCATCCCTATACTGACTGAGGTGTCCTGACTTCTATGATTTATTACAATATCCATAAACATAATAATATTTTTGCTGAGGAGGAAATTTTGTTTTGCTTTCACCAATGTCCCTTAAATGCAGACATACATAAACGTGATCCATCTTCAGCCACTGAAGCCGTTTTGTTCGGAACAGAGACAAAATGGAACTTAGGAAACCTGAGGCCTTTGTCCTGATCTTCATGTTGCTCGTCACGCTGTGCACCGCTGTCAATCCCACATCGGCGGGCGACTCTCCAGTAAGCACTGGGGCTTTGTCTCGCAAGAAACGGTACCTTACCTTTCCGCCCGGAAGCATTTTGCAGGTAAGTTTAATGGAACTAAAAGAAAACATGTAGACCGCTTCTGAGGTCTAGTGGTCAGAGTTCCTGGCTACAGATCCAGAGGTCACGGGTTTAATTTCCGACTCTACCAGATTTTCTGAGGAGTAGTGGGTCTGGAACAGTGTCCACTCAGCCTCGTGAATATAATTGAGGAGCTATTTCAAGGGAATAGCTTCTCCGGTCTAGAAACCTGAAATTAACGGCCGTGGGGATCCCTTGCGCTGACCATGTGACCCCCTCTATCCGCTAAGTTGGCACCTGTCGACAAGCGGTGGTCGCTCGGTCGTTATATTTCGATTGCGGAGTAAAGTCACGGAGTTTCTTTAAAGAAAACATGCCGGTTGCGGTAGCCGAGTAGTCTAAGGAATGTACTACTGTCTTCGTTTGCTCGGAAGCCGGGATCGTAGGTTCGAATCCCACACAAGTCATGGAAGTGTGGTATGTGTGTATATTTATTCTGTGTTTGTGTTGTCCTGGGTTTAGGTAGAGTCCTTGCGACTAGCTGATCCCTCGTCCAAGGAGTCCTACCGTCTGTAAACTAATCATGAAACTGAAAAATCAGAGGCCAGGGCCCAGGTGTTCTCTAGAACCAGCAAAAAAAGGAAACGAAAACCTTAGGGAGGAACCAGCCATATAAAATTCAAGACACGATGAGATATGATATTCCTTAATTTAATCATCAATGTCCACGCAGAACTTAAAGCGATTAATTGATGAACGGTTAGATTCTCACAACATAAATTTAATTTTCCAAATTACATTTCTGAATTCCAAATTTTCCTTGAAACTTACGGAAAAAATCACGACCCATTCATAAGTTACAATAAATAGAACATATTGCCAAATCTTACTTCAGGGAATTATTTTTGAAGAAATGAGTTTATATAATTAAAAATAATTATTATATCAATAGATTATAATTTCTGAAAAGGAATCTGTATATTGTCAGTATATTACCAGCAAATTATTTCCCAAAATTTTATAGACATAAATGTGTTTAACCCTCAAAATATATTTTACAAATATGAAACTAATTTTAAAAACTCGGAATTACTGTCTTCTCAGACTTTGTCTAACTTGTGTTATTCTAAAATCTAGAAAACACAACGTTTATAAATACTGAAGTATTTCTGAAAACGTATGTCATGTTATTTAACTCGTCTACTTTGTTGTAGAAATCTACAGAGTTCACTCGAACTTTTGAAATAAATGCTCTAACTAATTTGCAATGTGATTCTAAGCTGTAAGTACTTATGTAATAATTACAGACGTAAAAATTGGGTTTTATTTAGAAACACGAACTTCGCAGAAATCCATATTTAGAAAAGAATTAGCATATCAATTTCCCCGGAAAGAAAACAATGTAATTTGTTTTTGCCCGAAAATATCTCGGACAGGGAACTGAACTTCCATTTCTAATCTTCAGCATGAAAGGTATGCAGTAAAAGAGGGTTAGGTCTACAAACATTATTTCCCGTCGAATTTCAACGGACTTATTCGCTAGTGAATAGCTTATAACGAAAAAAATACAACAATTTTATTATAGCAATTTTCTTATTTGTCTAAGTTTTCAGTAATAGAGACTATAGCATCGAGTTATTTGGTGACAGAGCGAAAATGATTTAAAAGATTAGGAAGGAAGTGGTCGTAGCCTAATTTTAAGATAGTGTGACGTATTTGCGCTATGCAGGACACCCCCTCCCCCGCCAGCGGTGACGTAAGACCTTCGGTGCGTTGCCGTTGCTACGGTAATAGGCCAGTCAGCACCCCGCCCACTCCCGCGGTGACGTAACACGGGATGCCGGGAAACTGCCTGCAGAGATTTAGGAAAACCAGGATATTTGAGCTGATCAGCTGCAGAGCAGGAGTAGAGAGCGCTACTGCTACCACAGCCGTCTCCCTGAGCTGACCTAACAACGTTTGTTTCAGCTTGGCTACTGTTTGACAATACCGGCCATCATCCCTGATGGTATTTGGACCTACGGAATTACTTTTGGTACAAATTGGGAGATTCCCACTGACCCAGTGGGGCTGAAGGCCCCGAAAGATGCCGAAGTGGTGCATCGGAGACAGAGGCGGGATTTATACCAGAAGCTACGGCCCATGATGGACACGTGAGTATATGGCAGATAGAAGGTTTCTCTAGCATTTCTTGCAAACATTGCGGAAATAAAGGCCTACCTAGTTACAGAAAGTAATTCTGTTAGTGGGAATCATAACACTACTCTACCAAGTAGAGGCAGAATTAAACAAATTTCTGTATGACTAATAATACTGGGTCATTTAATATGAAGTCATCCAGATAGGTCGTTCGACCATTTTAAAAAATTTATATTTTGTACACTTATTTCTACATATTTCCATACTTCAAAAATATAAATAAAATTAATCCGCTCGGTTCTCCAGGTACAGCCGTTTTTAAAACGCGAAAAAACGCGTTTTATGCTGAAATGGAGGTCTGCGTAATCTTCCATATCTCGATGACTACTGATACTAGAGACTCCAATAGAAAAACAATCTGTTCCTCATGATATGGATTACAATTCATCCCATTGCAAGGTTTTAATCAACTCACTTTCTTTAGGTCTAATTTAAGCTAGAAACATACTCATTGATTTTGGGAAAAAGCTATTTTGATCTTCAGAATACAACGGCCGGGGGGGGGGAAGTAACAGGTCTGTGATTTCTACCCTTTCTTGTTACCTACATGGGGAATATAATCACGTAATTTTGAACCGCGTATCTTTAAAAAAAAATTTGCAGGAGCTTCCAAACTTTGCTCAGTCTCAAAATCGGCAATTTTTAACATCTCATATCTCCGGTGGGGAAGCTCCGACAATTTTAAAATTCATAGCAAATGATGCTCTCTTCTTGAGTAACTTGGAGTTAAAATTACAACTTTTATGTTATAATAATAGCGGAGTTGTGGGCACTTAAACTTTTACCAAAAAATCAACACCTCAATACACATAAGTCATCTCAAATATTGTATAATGTAGTCTCTGAATGCCTGTGGTGTGATGTACAGGATGGGTCTGGATGGGGACTCATGCATTTTGCGCGCACTCTGCGAGTCAGGTCAACGCCCACAGGGATCCAAAGGGTCCTTCCTAGAAGAGATTCTTCATATTATATTCACGTGAGTGTATATGAAAGTCAGGTTTCATTTAACAAGTGTCCGTCGCATGAATTTATCACATTGGAATGGACGTTGAAATATGGTGGAAACATGAAGGACAGTAGTTGAGTATCAGTAAGTCATACCGGAAACAAAGCCATCTACAAAAGTGCAAGACATTACAATCCTTGGCAGTCACATATCCTCATATTGGAGCGAAGCCAGCCAGTTAACTTCTTAGTAACGTACTGTATATTCTTTTATCAGACATGAAAGTAGCGGCGTACTTAAATAATATATATTTTTTTAAAGTCGCTTAGTGAGAGGTGGAGTCCAACTGGGTCCACTCGGCACGGCGGCCACTGATTGGCCTATTGCAGCTTGCCCCGGGTGTTTATGATGATGGAGAATTTGGTGGAATGAAGATTGACAGGGGAAACCGAAGTACACGGAGAAAACCTGCCCCAGGGCCAATTTGTCCACCACAAATCCCACTTGACCAGAACCGGGATCGAACCCGGGCCGCCGTGGTGGGAAGCCAGCGACTAACCGCTTGAACTATGGCACGTCCTACTTAAATAATAAAGAAATGTGGGACGTCCAAGTTTTAGTCATTATTATTTTTTTCGTAATTTCAGCAATTTTTTATTCACAGGATCTCCTTCTAGCCAAGACAATATAAAATATTTCAAAGACAAATATAATATGGAAACTGCATGCCTGTTAAATTTATTTTAATAGTCACACTTGCCAGGCCAAGAATTGAACTCAATCGCCGCTATACAGAGTGTCCCAGGAGGAAAGGTCAATTTTCCAGGAGGTTACAGTGTCGGTCGCTCTAAGCAAAAAATTATATACGTACATGTGTCCTATTCCGAATGGTTTCCGTGATAGAGCTATTTCACTGTACATTTCCAAAAATTGTTGATAAGAAGAGATATTATGTATTGTTTCTAATGCCGGTATTTTGTGTTCAAGTGGCAAAGCTGGTACAGTTTATCTAGTATAATATACACATTTTGAGTTTTCCGCCATCAGCGTCAATGCACTTTGTAACTCGTGTGAGGACATGGCGTGTTGCTCGTCTGTCCTATGTACTGCAGAGTGAAATAGCTCTTTCTGGGAAACGATTCGGAATAGGACACATGTACGTATACAGCTTTTTTGCTTGGAATAACCGACACTGTGACCTCCCCGAATATTTACGTTTCCTCTAAGGACATTCTATATATTGCTCCAAGTTCCCAACCAGGTGTCCCAACCCGTTTCTATACAGCACGGTTTATCATGTAGTCAGCCATGAAGCGCAATTTTCTCTTTCTTCGCTGCCTGTGAGTGTGGGTACGCGCACACACACACACACACACACACACACACACACACACACACACGCAATTTCAGTATTTATAAGACAATGCCGGGTGCACGCGGCAGCGTAGTTGGTTGAGACACTATGCTACAAGCCGGAAGGTCACTGGTTCAAGTCACGATAAGGTGTATTTTTTCAATTTACCCAATTCTTCCAGCCGCACTATGGCCCTGGAGTCGACTCAGCCTCTAACAGAAATGAGTAGCAGGAATATTACTTGGGGGTGAAGGGCGGCCGGCGCGTAAGGCTGGCAACCTTGTCGCCATCTATGAGCCGATTTTCTACAAAATGTGGGAGCCTCGAAGCCTCACAACCCTATGGGCCTTCACTGCCTGTTACAGGGATACTTTTACCTTTTTTTCTTACAAGACAACGCTTTTAACACTAAAGAAATATCGTAAATAATGTTCAAAGAAGTTGAATATTTCTGAAGTAAATAAAACAAAGTGTGCATATTTTCCGTACATAACAATTTCTATATTACTCTTGTTCTCAGTTTAAAAATACTAGAATAAATTTAACTGTCACGAATTATATCATCACTTCGTGTCCTAGGCTTATAACAATATAACCATAAGAGAAGGCCATATTTTCACATTTAATTACTAACTTACCTGAGACAACTACCAGGCTACTAACAGGCCACGACCATTCTGTCTCTTCTTAATTTAAGGTTTTTAATTCTTCCAACAAGTGAGACATAATCCAGCATCTGAGGCATAATCGAAAAAAACTGAAGTAAGAAGAATATTTGAAAGGAATAGTATTTCGGGAGACAATATTAAAATTGAGCCGAAGGAAATAAGGTGTCACTGTGTGGATTGGATTTAGCTGAAACCATGTAGTGCGCAATCGCAAGCTCATATAAACATGGAAATGAGTTTCAGGTTAAAGAATCTGGAAATTTCTTGGCTAATTGAGTGACTATCAGTTTCTCAAATAGAATTCTTCTCAATGGATATAATTAGAGACGGCTAGACATATAGACAATTATTTCTGACAAGGAACAAAACGGTGTTAAAAATTCATAGTCAACTCTCTGAAGCAACTTGTCTTAAGTCAAGTTGACACTATTTTTTTTCAAGCAAGTGAGCAAATATTGGTTTGACCTATATTTGAAATAATAGTCCGGTTATTTTTTGAACACATTATTATTAGCTTACTTTACATTAATCTAACAGTGTGGAAGGAAATGAAATTTACCTTATCTCTTTCAGATTACCACGAAGCAAACTTTCGAGCGATTCAGCCGATGACGACTTAAAGAAATACGACGCTGCGTACAAAACGAAGGCAGATTGCGCTGTGTTATTCCCTTCTTGTCTCAAGGACCTGGATGTGTCCTGATGCAGCTGCACATAAAAGGATACGAATTCCTTACGAAAAGGAATGCTTAAAATTTTTGCCATCGTGGCTACCGAGACAAGTCGTGACCGTCTCATCGTCAAGAAGTTTCGAACTATTCCAAAGAACACAGTTGAGATGGTATCATGAATATACCACAAACCCTCCTACAAAATTAATGCACAGAAAGGTACAAGAATAAATATACGAACATAACAAGGAACGAAATATGCAACAAAATAATATTAACGCTGTGCGTAATAAATCATTTAAAATGAAGCGACAACAACTCTGAGAAATGGAAATTATTTTCAAGGCGAAATTAGGAAATGAAATTCAGGAGAGTATACNGGTACAAGACGAAATATGGAACAAAATAATATTAAAGCTGTGCGTAATAAATCGTTTAAAATGTAAGCGACAACAAATCTGTGAAATGGAAATTATTTTCAAGGCGAAATTAGGAAATGAAACTCAGGAGAATATACATTTTTCTATGAAAAGGGGAATGAATATCATGAATTAGGTACAGGTTGAGAGCAGAGTTTGTTAGTGATAGGATATCATATGTAATACTAAAGGATCGCTGGTGTGCTATCATGTTCACGCCTCAACAGGTTCTATAAAGAACTAGAACAGGTATTTCATAAATTCTNATAATATTAACGCTGTGCGTAATAAATCATTTAAAATGAAGCGACAACAACTCTGAGAAATGGAAATTATTTTCAAGGCGAAATTAGGAAATGAAATTCAGGAGAGTATACATTTTTCTATGGAAAGGGGAATGAATATCATGAATTAGGTACAGGTTTTTTCGTTCATAAGAGAATCGAATCAGCAGGTAAGAGAGTAGAGTTCGTTAGTGATAGGATATCATATATAATACTAAAGGATCGCTGGTGTGATCTCATTGTTATAAGTGTTCATGCCTCAACAGGTTCTATAGAGAACTAGAACACGTATTTCATAAATTCTCGATGTACCCTATGAAAATTTTGTTAGGAGATTTCAATGCCAAAGTAGAGAGTGTAAACATTTTCAAACCAACAATTGGGAATGAGCCTTTGCATGAAATTAGCAATTATAACGGAGTTAGAGTTGCAAACTTTGCCACATCAAGAAATCTTACTGCCAAAAGTACAATGTCCCCACAGCATAACATCCATAAATTTACTTGGACATCTCCTGATGGGAAGATACACAATCAAATAGACCATATTTTGATAGATAGGAGACGGCACTCAAGTGTACTTGATGTCCGATCATTCAGGGCAGCGGATTGTGATACTGACCACTACCTGCTGGTGGCAAAGGTTAGGTAAAGACTAGCAGTGAGCAAACAAACAACACACAGGGTTCATATGGTGAGGTTCAATCTCAAGAAATTAAATGAGGTAGAGGGTAAAGAGCAGTATCGTGTTGAAATCTCAAATAGGTTTCCAGCTTTGGAAAACTTGGAAACTGAGGTGGATGTCAATAAAACTTGGGAAACTATCAGAGAGAATATAAAAATGTCTGCCAAAGAGAGTCTAGGTTATTATGAACTGAAGAAGCATAAGCTGTGTTTCGATGAAGGATGCTCAAAATTATTACAACAAAGAAAGCAGGCCAAATTGCAATGGTTACAGGATCCAAGCGAGTTAAATGGGGATAATCTGAACAATATAAGATCTGAAACCAGCAGGCATTTAGGGGGAGAAAAAAAAGAGGGAATATCTGAAAGATNGTAGAGGGTAAAGAGCAGTATCGTGTTGAAATCTCAAATAGGTTTCCAGCTTTGGAAAACTTGGAAACTGAGGTGGATGTCNCAAGAACATTAGAGACTTGTATAGAGGAATAAATGACTTTAAGAGGGGTCACCAATCTAGCAGTAACTAAGTGACGGATGAGAATGGTGATCTGCTTGCACATACCCACAAAATTCTGAGTAAGTGCAAGAACTGTTTCTCTCAGTTACTGAATGTACATAGGGTCAGTGATGTTAGGCAAACAGAAATCCATATAGCTGAGTCGTTAATACCTGATCTTAGCCCTTTTGAATTTGAAAGTGTANAAAATTGATGAGCTTGCAATGAACAGTAAGAATAAGAACATTAGAGCCCTGTATAGAGGAATAAATGACTTTAAGTAGGGTTACCAGCCTAGCAGTAACTTAGTGAAGGATGAGAATGGTGATCTGCTTGCAGATTCCCACAACATTTTAAATAGGTGGAGGAACTACTTCTCTCAATTACTGAATGTACATAGGGTCAGTGATGTTAGGAAGACAGAAATCCATACAGCTCAGTGGTTAGTACNGGGATATCACTGCTATCAACTTCATACAAAATTTTATCCTATATTCTTCTCTCAAGGTTAAGCCCATATANCCTTTTGACTTTGAAAGTGCTATTGCAAAATTGAAACGGTATAAATCGCCAAGTGGTGATCAAATTCCGCCAGAACTTATTCAGGCAGGAGGCGAAATGTTACGTTCTAAGAACCACAATCTATTTACTTCTATTTGGCATAGTCTATTATTGTACCAGTTCACAAGAAGGGTGATAAGACTGACTGTANTCAAGAAAGCCTATGATTCAGTTAGGAGGCAAGTATTGTACAATATTCTGATAGAATATTGGATACCCATGAAACTAGTTAGGTTGATTAAAATGTGTTTAAATGATACGTATAGTAAAACCCGTGTAGATAAATATTTTTCTGCTAAATTTCTTACCCATATTGGTCTAAAGCAAGGAGATGCTTTATCGCCACTCCTTTTCAACTTTGCATTAGGATATGCAATTAGGAAGGTCCAGGGAAACCAGGTGGGACTGAAACTAAACGGGACACATCAGCTGTTGGTCTACACCGATGATGTGAATCTACTGGGTGATAATGTAGATACCATAAAGAAAAACACAGTAACTTTAATTGACGTAAGTAAGGAGCTTGGCCTGGAGGTAAACACAGAGGAAACTAAGTATATGTTGCTGTCTCGTCACAAAAATTCAGGGCAAAATCATGACATAAAGATAGGAAATAGATGTTTTCAAAATGTGGCTCAATTCAGATATTTGGGAACAACAATAACAGATCGAAACCTGATTCAGAAGGAAATTAAGAGGAGACTGAACTCGGGTAATGCTTGCTACCATTCAGTCCAGAACCTTATGTCTTCTTCTCCTCTGTTGTCCAAAAACATAAAAATCAGAATATAGAAAACCATAATTTTGCCTGTGGTCTGTATGGGTGTGAAACTTGCTCCCTGACATTAAGGGAGAAACATAGACTGAGATTGTTTGAGAACAGGGTGTTTAGGAGAATATTTGGACCGAAGAGAGATGAAGTGACAGTAGGTTGGAGAAAAATGGACAATGAGGAACTTCATAACTTATACTCTTCTCAAAGTATAATTAGAATATTCCAGTCAACGACGGTGAGGTGGGCAGGGTATGTAGCACGAATGGGGAGACGAGGAATGCGTATAGGATATTGGTGGGAAAGCCAGAAGGAAAGAGACCACTGGGAAGACCAAGGTATAGGTGGATGGAAAATATTAAAATGGATCTTAGAGAGATAGGATTGAATGGTATGGATTGGATTGATCTGGCTCCGGATAGGGACCAGTGGAGGGCTCTTGTGAACACTGTAATGAGCCTTCGGGTTCCATAAAATGCTGGTAAATTCTCCAGTAGCTGCAGAATTGGCAGCTTCGCCTGAATGGCTCAGCTCCATGAGTAAGTAAGTAAGTAAGTAAGTTACTATTAGGTTCGAAATCTGATATTTTGTTGTGTGAGGAGTGACACCGTCTTACACGGTATATGGGTACAAATGTTTCGTTCAGGGGGATCTGTCACCTCTATTTCCACCGTCAAGATGGAGACAGGATGCTCCTCCGAAGGACTGGCATCTACACACCAGACTGCAAAGCGGCATAACCCAAAGTAACAACATCTGAACTTTCAGCAGTATGAAAACCTGAAACTTCATTTCTAAAATTTGTAATCATGCTCGTACTTGCATTGCGAAATGCCGAAGTGTGAATATATAAATGAACACTTTCTGATAGTTCTTTTGTACGCCTGTGAATCACAGTATCTTATTTTGAACGCAGAAGTGACTGTGAGCTTACAAATGACGAATAATAATACAATAAATTTCCCATCTGCTATGTACACACATTAGTACGTGAGAGGTTTATAGTTTATAATACTTGCAAATTGTGCCCTCCACCAAATAAAGTTCTGGCAACAAAGTCACAGAGAATGAGATAGACTGGGCATGTAGCACACAGAGGATATTTTAAGAACCGAGCAGATTGATCAGACTGTTGTAATGGCAACAATCTGGGCTCGTATTCTGGAGGTGTTCGATTCGGACCTCAGTCCAGACATAGGCTATCCTTACTAAATGTTTTCGTGGTTTTCCTCAGTCTACTCAGCGAGTGCAGTATAGTTCTTCGATTAGGCCAGGCGGCTTTTTTTTATTGCTAAGGGGGTGGGACGAAGTCCCTTGTACTGCGGCCACTTCTGGCCTATTGTACCAGTCCCAGATGATAGGTGAGGGTGATTGTGGAGCAATTGGTTAAATGAAGATTGGCAGGGGAAACCGAAGTACTCGGAGAAAACCTGCCCCAGCGCCACTTTATCCACCACAAATCCCACTTGACCAGATCCGGGATCGAACCCGGACCGCCGCGGCGGGAAGCCAGCGACTAACCGCTTGAGCTATGGAGTGGCCAGGCCAGGGCACTTCCTCCCTGATCTCTTGCAATTCATTGTTTGCCATCACCCGTCGATTCGATGCTATGCAGTTCGAGATATTCACTGCCCCGTAAAATAGCCCACAAAAGTATGTCACAAACTTACAGAGTTCTGATTGGAAAGCCCGAAGCGGTGAAACCACTGGGAGATACAGTTACAAAAAGGGGCATAATTCTAAAACGGATTATAGGGAAATGGGCCGACCATTATGGCTGAGGTGTCTAATGTATGAACTGTCTTCGCTCGCTCGAACCCTAGGATCGTAGTTTAGAATCCCACTCAAGACATTGATGTCTCCTTTTATTTTGTGTTTGTGTTGCTCTGGGTGTAGGTAGAGGACTTGCGACGGGCTGATCCCCAGTCCAAGGCGTCCTACAAATTGTGTATAGGATTAAGAGACTGAAAAAGCGAGCAAGGTTCAACAGAAGGACTGTAGAGCGATAGATAGATAGATAGATAGATAGATAGATAGATAGATAGATAGGGAAATGTGGTTCGAGGTTCTGGACTAGATAATGAAGGTCACTGTCAGATCCAGTAAGG